GCAGCGACTGCCTTAGTGCTTGAGGTAGTTTGGAAAAACGTTCAAGTTTCCAATCTTAAACCACTGACATAAGCGTGCGCCCGTTTAGTAGCTAGTCAATTATCCGGAACACTCGAAGAGTGCATGACGTCACGGACATGAGTAAACGCTATTTAAGCAAGTTTGATGGAGCATTTAAGACTGCTTAGATGCCCTGATATAGGGTTTAAAAAGGTACATGTCAACAGCGAAGAGAGATCAAGTGGGTAGAATTTGCGAAAGCACCTCTGTTTATTCCTCTTGCGTTGTGGTTTGTTCTTTATGCAGTTTATTTTTTGATACTTCTTCCTGCCAGCCTAAAGGCTACAAGTACATCGAGTAACACCACCGAAATTTTTCTTGTACTTTTCTAAGAACAACAGAACGAAAAACCTATTATTCAACCAGTCTTGAACGCAGCTCTGCGAGAACACAGGCTGTACTTTTTTTTTCTAATCTACTCTATGCGGAGGAGTGAAAGTTTGTAAGCAGCAAAAGAAGATGCGAGCGCTAAGGTCGGAAAGTTCAGAAGGATGTTTTCACTTGATGTTATATGCCAATCTGAAGACAGTTCTTTTTTCATGCCGAAGGGCAGCGCAACGCGCAATCTGTTTCGATCTTGGTAACTGTTAAACTTGATTTTTACCTTGTTTTCGTCGAGTGAGTGGGCACACCTTTCGTTGTTAGTATCTCGATCACTCCAACAACAGCACACTGCAAAGCACGAGCTGGAGCATTGAGTGAGCGATTGATTTTTAGGACTTGCGTAGGCACACTGCATCTAGGCAGTGCTCCGCTTTTCACTGGGTTTCAGACTTGCTTCCAAAAAGCCCCAGCTGAAAACTTTCTTTTTTATTTCCCTTTAAGACGGTCTGAAAATAAGCTGAGGTGTTCTTTCTTTACAGCTCTTCTTTTCTACAATGCGTCCTCGCAAGAAGATTCGTCACTGAACTGTGTCGCTGAAGTGCTGTGCGAGTTCCTTACCACCTACGCAATTCGCTCGTAAGTCCTCCGAAAGGCTAGCATTTTTGAACGTTCGCCCAGGGACAAGCGATGCACTTCTATGTAAGCTTGAGCAACGCTTCTTATTTGTGAAGTACCCCCGTGGTTATCGTGTTATGCGCAAGCACACATATATGCATACCTGGGGCCGCATTCCCAGTCTATAGCTCTTAAGTGCTCCTTAACGTTGGCCGGACGGACGCGCTTATGATCTGCATTGGCTGAAATGCTTTCCGAACTGTTTTAGCGTAAGTAGCTTTTGTGAATAATGGCTGCGTTCTTTAACTATGCTTTCACATTATTACCATTTAACTACTGCTTCACCCCCTTCTACAGCTCCCCAGAAAAAAAAATCACGTGAAACATTCCGTTTCACTGCTAATGAAGTGAAAATGAGAGTGACCAAAGATACTCCACCTTTGACTGGAAGCAAGCTCTGCTACACTGAGCCTAGAGGCATCTCACTGTCTGCTCGCATTCGAGAACAGAGAATAAATATTATGTGAAAAAATACGCAGTAAACGTCCAAAAAATAAACGTGATATAGAGTTTCACATTCTGTGTCACTAACTAAGACGTAATTATTACCTAGTATTTGAGTGTCGAACAAAAAAGTCTTCACAGTTATAATTTCCTGATTTTTTCTAACAATGACAACCCCGATATGGTTACGAGGCACGTCGCAGTAGAGTGCTGAAAATTTTCGGTCATCTGACATTCTTTGGAGCGCACTGACATCGTGCACAAAACAAGTGCGTCTGTAGACCTATTCCATGCTTGCAAACAGCGGTATAGGTGCCGTCGACATACGGAGGCGCTTATAGCGACGTCACGGCGCGCAAGCTCTGCCCAGCCCAGAGCTGGCCGCTGCCCTCTATGATCACTTGAACTCTGGTACATCTGCTGCAAAGCTTCCTCTGAGCACAGCGCGTCGCGGAGCCCCTCGTACCCCGACGTCGCTATAGTGACCTCTGTATGTCGACGGCGCCTACCGCCGTTGACAAACATGGAACAGGCGTACGGCGTTTCGCCTCCCGTCAATACGCGACCGACCGTATCCGGGATCGAACACGCGTCTTGCCTGGTCACCAAATGAGCGCAACAAAAATGAACCATTTAGTTTACATATATTAGAATATACATAGTTTTGGTCACTAACATATTACAACTACGTCGACTGTTCACTGATAACCATCACTGACCGCTCAACGTTGTAGTTGTATTGCATTTGGGAATACGGATACTGGTACTGGTGACTACCTAATATGTCTCTGAGTTGTCTTGTTTATGTTATTATGTACACTTTAGTGATTTGCTTGCGTTGGTGCACCTTTTGACACTATTGCGATTGTAGATTTTATCGTCGTTTGGCACGAAGATCACATACTAAAAATGATTGTAGTAGTACTGTACAACACCCTGTGTTTCTGAGTGTTAGTTTCTTTTTTATGCAACAGTAAGCCTGCATCGCTGTATACATTTTCTTTTTGGACCCAGGACTAGCCATTGGCTACGGGTCCAAGCAGTCTGATGATCTTTTGTATCGTATGATTCAACAAATAAAAAAAATTAGGCTCATGGATGACCCCTAAGCCTTCTGAAGTGACCTAAACTACTTCGTTTTCAACTAGTGTAATCGAGAGCTGGTGACGCCTAATTGTATTAGAATTATAGCTGACCGGAGCCATCATTTATAGCGGGCTCCCTTAGTACAGTACATTTAAATTCACAATACTGATTTCCAGGTAATTTTCTCTGGCTCAACCGTAACAGCCCCACGTTCTCACATCTGATGGCGCAATGCAATGTTGTCTGAACAGGAATAAGTATCTCAGACAAGTTGGTCGACCTACCTTCGTCGAGAGTGCCTGATAGCCTAGTAGTGTCCCAAGCATCGTCGTAGAAACATTCGAACAAGAATCTCACAGATTGCATTTCAGGCACGGCGCATAACACTGTAAGTGCAAAAGGTTCCACGCATCTTGAATAATTGCCCGCGTATATAAATCACCGCTGTTTCCTCCCTATCAACGGCATCAGTTTAACAAGCTACGCTCTGAATAAAATAAAGCCGCTCGTTTCACTGCACATAACTATACAGCCCAAATCGCAGCATAATACCGGTCAAACATAACATATTGCTCTTGCCGCTTTATATACGAGATTATGCCGCCATTTTATGCTTACTTATATAGTATCGCTGCAGCATCAGGTCATATCCTTTGCCACGAGAAGCACAATTACGAATTACGCATAGCGTAATCTATGAGGTATTAGTAGTACGAGCGTGCGAACTAATGCTTTCAATCATCTGTGTTTCAACGCTCCAATTTGGAACGATCCTATCTGAAAACACTGATTCCATTTGCAGCCATAAATATTTTAACAATAAAGTGCACAAACATTTTCCGTAACAATGTAATGGCATCATAAATATTGAAAATTTCTTTCTGTAAGTACTCTTTTATTATTTCTTTCTTTTCTGTCGTGTGTGAGAGAAGTGTCATTAATTTAAAGTATTCATGCTGATTTCCTGTTATAACCCGAAGTACGGCACTTACGCATGCTCCTTCTCTTTGACTTTGCCCGGTACGAAAACTTTGTAGAAATTTTGATTTTACTTATGTATCCTCCGCAAGTGGTATCCTACATTAACTAGGAACGAGTCACATAAAAAGGCGTTTACTCATGTGCCAAAAGTCGTGTATCGTCGCAAGAGCAATTTTAAGCACATGTTAAATCATGCTGTTGTAAAACCCATTCTACTACCCACATGGCACCTTGTTTTCGCCCGAGGTGTAAAACTTGCAAACATCTTCGAGGTGACCTCATAGTTAAAAGCCCCGAAATTGATTACATGCATCATATACAACCCAGCTTTATTTGCACTATTTCAAACGTTGTCTACATGGTCGAATCTTCATACTGTGACAGATGGTACGTTGGTGAAACAAGACAGCCTGTTAATGTTAGATTAAATGGCCATCGTGCGGACACGGCTAAGAAATTACCGAAAGCCGTGACACAACATATTATTGTGGAAAGTCACAACTTCAACGACCTCAAGCTTCAAATTTTAAGGTCAAACTTCCGGTCCCCAAGGGACGGAAGGTATACAAGCATACCTTATTCGCAAGTTTAATACACTCCAGCCAACCGATAAACATTTTAAAAGGCGCTCTTGGGTCCATGCCTTATGGTACATATAACGGAAACCGATAAGTGATAAGTCCTTCTTTTAGGAATTTCTACATTACCATTGTTGCTGGTACTTGCTTGAAAGATATATTTGGCAATTACATACCATTGTAATGTGGTGCTTTCTTCCGACAACCATTATTCAGTGACGCGTACCCCTCCGCACCCCTTTCCCGGGCGCCCACACTTCATTGTTTTTTTTCTTTTTCAAGAGTTACCACGACACAGAGACAAGAAGGACACGAATGACGTTCTGTTCTCGCGCTATTCTTTCCGACTCACTCAAATCGCCATGGTGACTCTTTTGTTTGGATTAGACGAGAGGATACAGAACATATACACCAGTGGTAAGGAAATCAGCTGCAGCCTTGAAAAATACAACTGCAGTCGTCTTAACGTCGTCTCCAGCACCAATCTCCTGTTTAAGAATTTTTCATCGAAATCGTCCACCTTCCCGCTTGCTTCCGCTGCCTTTCACTGAATGAAGTGACACGTGTCTACGCCGGACGCAACGTTTGCGTTTACCACGAATGCGTGGCCCGATGAAACTTCCGCACATTGCTGTGAAATATGCAAAGCAGTCATTGCTAATAAAAAGTGTCTCAATATTGAAATCTAGTGCGCCGCAGAGCACGTGGTGTGAACTCTCTAACTGCACCATGCATGCTACGCGGCGTTGTCTGCTTCGTATTTGTCTTAAGTATCCTTGGGCTTTATACGGAACCTCACGGCGACGGCAGAAATGCGTTGCCAATAATGAGAATGGACGCTCAGACACTCACGGCGATGAAGACCAGTCCGTCGAGTCGCATGCCTTGCAGGGTCGTTGTGCGTGCGGAGCTGGTCAAGCCTCACGACCGGACTGAGGCCGCCGTTTTCGGGGAGATGCTGCTGCGCTGCTGCCTCTGGATTCCGCTGCTGCGGGGGCCACCACTGCAGGCCGGCCAAGGCATGGGACGGGCCGCTGCGAGGCGCATATCAGTCGTCACGCATTGTATGCTCAGTACTCTATAGAGGTCATCTACACTAATCCCTCATTCTGTCGCACACGACATTCAACTACCTGTTGTTGTCTATAGCGACATTTATTGATATAATAATATGTGGAATTTTACGCCCCGAAACAACAATATTGTTGCGCACATGCACGAAGACAAAGAAGCGTATACGGTGAACGCACTTGTCGCCCAGAGCCAGAAAGGAAGAAGAGGATCAGGAGGATCTCTAACCAGTCGGCCGCTTCTGAGCTGCCCCTCATGACCTAATAAACAGCACCTTTCAGCCTCTACCAGTCTCTTTCAAACGTAACAGAGTGGTGGAGGAGCTGGGTAAGCGCTTCAACTACGGAACGATCACTGCCACAGCTTCGACGAAGCCGTCGACTTGCCGGTCTCCCACCATCTGCCGTGAGTGACTTCGACATGCCCGAAGAAGCAGGCGTTTCCAGGACGGCACCGTCTGGTCCGCTTCCGTACTACCGAGTTCCACCACCCTTCGGAGGAAAAGCCGAAGAAGATGTCGACACCTGGCTCACCAAGCACAAACGTGTGGGCGAGTCCAACGGTTGGGATGCAGCCGCTATGCTAGCCAACGTAGTGTTCTCCGTGACCGACACCGCACTGGTATGGTACGAGAACCACGAGGACGCATTCACGACGTGGGATCTTTTTGTTCAAGAGCTCTGGGCGACAAATGCGTTCCTAGTATACGCTTCTTTGTCTTCGTGCATGTGCGAAACAATATGAATGCGAAAGACACCATGGTAGAGACAATAGTTATAGCGCGAGAACAGAACGACGACACACAGACAAGAAGGACACGAAGAACGTTCTGTTCTTGCGCTATGACTATCGTCATGTCATACCAACTAGCCCAAGCTACCACACGTGGTAGAGAGCTCCACAAATTTAACCCATAAGGTGTTTTTTTTAAACGTGCACTTAGATCGCACAGTAGACGGGACTCTACCACTTAGCGTCCCACGAAATGTGACCATCGCGGCCTGGATCAAATTCGTGACTCTCGGATGAGCAGCCGAGCCCTGTAGCCACTGATCTACCGATAGACATGTCTGTCTGTACGTGGAAGTCAATGCGACGCGGCACGGACGTTATTGGTAAGCCTGCAAATATTTATTCCACACCTTTATTGTGGACCAATCTGCCCTCAAGAATTTACACCGCGTGTGGACTTGTCTTAAAGAGCGTGACATTGCACATCTCGAAACACGTTTCCTTCCCCTCCGCCCAGTTATTTTCTCGCACAGATGAACGTTTTTCTCTCATTATCATAACCACCACTCACATTATCATCTTATGTCATCGCAACGAAGTATTTAAAGGAACGACATGGTTTCAAACTCTCTCCACGATCCTCCACTTTCGAGGACCTTTAAACAACCTCTGGAAGTTCGAACAACGAGCGCGCTATTCTTTTCCGGTGTTTCCCGTTTCCGCGGCACAATTCGCGACGCCAGCAGATAATTCATAGGATATCGGGAATAAATTGGTCGATATACGAGAGATATCTGCTGCAAACTGTTGACTGCCCTGTTTTCCAAGCAGTCGTGTGTCCATTCTACCTGATATCGCATGGCTATCGTGCGTGATCTACTGATGCCACTTCGTTTACTGCATCTGCGGGCGCAAAAACGTAGATAGCAGCGCTTACTCGAAAAGTGCGAAGTCCTGAATCTCTGTAGCGTTGACGTTCCTCGCGTATTACGAACACATAGGTGGCGAAGAGCAGATACCGCTTGTATAGGAAGAGCTAGCTGTGAAGGCGAGCAATAGACTATTGTGTCAGCTTCGAATTTTGACCTTTAAAAGGTCCTCAAACATAAAAGTAGTTTATCAATTACTATCGGTTGAGACTTGAAATCATTAACATTCACTTTCATACGCACGGCTGGCTATTAAGAAAAACGCAGAAAACTCCTCCGAAGAAACAACGTCCAGATCGGTAGACATATTACATGTAGATGTTTGTCTTGTGACACGTGAATTTGTAAAGATTTTCACATATACGGGGTACCCTGACGGCCTATACTGCGCATAATGACCAGTTTTGCCAATTATACCTTACTATCCCAATTCTCTTTATTTATAACCGCTCTTTTCTTACACAATTCAAGGATAACAAACCGCACATTTCCACCTGGTTGTTTTTGTATTTTCTTTCTCTTGTTTATTTCTCTTGAATGTCTTGTTTAGTATTTATTGCACTGTAAGTAGTGTTTTTTTTATAACTGATTTACCAGGTCTTGCGGCGGCCTATTCCTAACTCTCACACTACGTAAAACTAACCTGTTTTCTGAAATTTCCGCCAGCATTTACATATATAAACCTCGAAAATTTTGTCCAACCGTTTTCCCATCACGAATTTTTGTAAGCGACTCTAATTAAACGATTCAATCGTGGCATTACTTTTTTGCGAAGAACAAAAATTTTTTTGGTCTATGCTTTTTATGAGTATCAGGCATAGAATCTAGTAATAAAGCCTTTCAAAAAATTACGCTTTCAACAATTTCGCCATTTCTAGGCCTACTAGAATAAAACTTCGATCGTAATGGATTCTATAACCATGGATGACAGCTTTGAGTCAGTCTGAAATAATAACTTGGCTCGACATGTGGTTGGTAGTTTGCATCTCGACTGCCTTAGTTAATGCTTCCTTAAACCGGCTGCTCACGTTACTCACTCAGTGTAAGCATAACTTGGATTTCATCGTATTATCGCATTGCAGGCAGAAGAGCAGTGCAGAATAGTAACGTTGTCGTTTAAGAACACTGCAGTGATGTGCAGGTATCAAAATAGTAACTAGGAGTCGGCGAAGAGAAATATGATTTGTTCAATAGCAATTGCCTAATTTTAACCTCGTTCACAAATTTGTGCCTTTTACCCATTACACTACTAAGTACATGTTCTACGTAAGGGACGTGAATCAGCGAGAAGCAAGTTCTTCCAGGCTAGCACACTTAATGCAATATACTCTTTGAGGGGCAGCATATATATTGAAGGAGCAAATACCTCCCAAGTAATGGGGTGGTTAATGGGGTGATGCGAAGCGTGCACATTTTCGCCTTAGAACACGCGGCCTATACCCATACTACACATACAGCAAGTAAGCAGCTTATCTACAGCTCATGATGCTGAAGTTGATTCTTATATAGACCTTACAGAACAAGTATCACAGAAAACCGAATTTTGTAATTGCGTACGTTTCAGAAACAAAATATGCTTCAAAAATATCACTCAGCCTTATGAATGTTCTCTTGCGCAGGCACTCCTGCAGTCTTGAACATGCGTTTGTAAAAAGCAGTAATTCAATATACGCGTACACTCATGCACACCTTAAGTTTGTCTTCCTATCTAGACTTCCAGTTTTGTCACTAGCCGTTCGAAACCGGAGCAACCAGTGTGCCAACGCAAGAGGAATTTTGTTCGAGTGAAAATCATGCAATGTAACGCAAAACAGCGCACTAAGGTCGTGAAATTTTGACGCGAATGGTCTGATATACGCGATCCACAACGTTATGAGAAAGGCAATTTTTAGGCCCATTTTTTTTTTCACGCAAGAAACAGCCATGACAGCTAAGTCCTTATCACTACCCGACAGGTTAAACGAATCACATGCATGTCATGAAAAAAAAAACATATTTGCTTGATTATTCACGACATTTGCATATTTACTGTGTGCCTCTGTTGCTTTTTCGGGAAAAAGGCAACGAATGCACCCATTGTTACGGTCACGTTGCTCTGAATACTGGTTCATCTAGTTTAATGTACTGTTTTTTGTAAAATTTTAAATAATGATAAATAAGAGGCAGTGTTAAAGCTCCTTGTCAGTGGTTTTCTGTGGTCGAGACCACATTTCAAATTTGCTGACTGAACAATAACATGGCGAACTCAAAGGCAAAAACGGAGCCTACTGGTGCAGTGACAGTATTGCGCTTGGAAATTTGTTCTTGTTAAGCAAAATATATTTAGATGCAGCTTCATTTGTAGATGATAGGGGATTGATTGGTGATTGATATGCGGGGTTTAATGTCCCAAAACCACCATATGGTTATGAGAGACGCCGTAGTGCAGGGCTCCGGAAATTTCGACCACCTACCACCTGGGGTTCTTTAACGTGCACCCAAATCTGAGCACACGGGCCTACAGCATTTGTGCCTCCATCGGAAATGCAGCCGCTGCCGCAGGGATTCGATCCCGCAACCTGCGGGCTAGCAGTCGAGTACCTTAGCCACCAGACCACCATGGCGGGGTGATACGTCATCAAGGTAAGTGTAGTTAAATAGCATAAAATTTTGTAGCAGTAAATGTAGAGTAAGTGATCGCTCCCCTTCGGTACCAGACACGACATGGTCTGCAATTACCAGCCTCTTCTTTTTATTCTTTTTTTTTCCTTTTTTTAAAGAGCCTAATCCAAAAACCGAAAGTAGGTAGCGAGAGCACGATGCCTGCCTAAGTATTCATTTTTACTTTTAGAACAGTTGGAATCAAAATGGGGAAATTCCTTATTGTAACGTGAACTCAGAATGAAATTTCAAACTAAAGATGAGCGAAATCCTGCACCTGTTTGAATCAAACTGAGCCAGATCCATTAAATTAACGCTGAAGTAATCATGACCGGAACAACCAACATGGTCGGATTCAAAATGTTCCATTCATGCGTAGTTTCTTCGCTATAGTGCCTTTGTTCCACAATTGGTTTCTCTGGTGCGAGTTGGTACCCACTGAAGAACATGATCTAGCATATCATCGCAAAGCTTGGATCAGAAAGGCTGAGAGGCCAACTTTTCTAGTTATTTTGCGCCTAAGTGTTTGTTAGAGTTTCGCGCCACATTAACATCTTTTTTTTTTCGCTCCAAGACGGTCGATTTCGACACAGAACGTAACTAAAATGAAGATATTGGGCACAGACCTGCTACATGAAGAAGAAATGATCAGCAACGAGGTGTCATAGAACGAGATATGAAGAACTGAAGCGTTTTGAGTAGGTCTTAAATAGAGCCGAGATGAAGACAAAGCTGTCGGCAGTACAGAATGGCGTGCCATTTGCTAGGAAAGACCACTCGCTCTTCAATTCTAGAAATCGCCAGTATGCCCATGCAACAAATAAATTCCACGACGGAAGTGCATGGGTAATGTTTATTTTGTCGCAATTTTTTGCCTATATTGTCCATGCGTGGTGATTTAGACTTTCATGAACCAATTCAAGCCCAAATTAAATGTAATGACCTATAAGAGCCAGATTCAAATTTTACTCCTAAATACCAACAACAGTAAGCTATATTGATGCTAGCGGCAAAGCAAATTTCAAATACTTTGGGCACATGCAGTACGCTGGCAAAAAATTGCCGGAGCAGGCCCAATCATATTGCCAGATGCAAAAAACTCAGTTTTCTTAGTTTCAGTTAAACTAGACTTGGCTGTTAACAAAAAGAGGGGAAAACATTGCCACATGATATCGTAGGATACTTTTCAAAGTACTACTTCCTGCTACTAACTGACGCTCATACAAGTGCCAAACGATGCCCGGTAAAAGCCATCAAGTAGCAGTACTTTTGGTTTAGAAAGCCCCAAAAATTTGCTTTCATAAGTGATGCAAGCGTGAATAGGACTTTGAAGGGCACATACTTTAGCATGTTAATAATCCATGGCACTTACTTTTAGTGGCAAAAAGAACGTAAAACGAAAGGGAACAACACGGGCGTAGCGCTAACTTTAAACTTTTTGTTTTTTTTCCTGAAGTTACGCATGTGTATAGTTGGAAAAGAGTAACAGTTCGCACTAGCGCGCTCGTAAAAGTTAGCATTTTAACCAGTGATATCACTTGTGTGAATTGAGAATTGACAGCAGATAAAAAAATATTGTGCGGTTTGCGAAAACCAACCTGCAAGATCTCGATAACATCAAATTTGCCCCACAAAACATATATATAGTGGCCCAACGTAGATGCCAAAGACAACGCGGTGACGACCTAGTTAGTGTGAATCCTGATTATCTTTTTGGCGCGGAAGGAAATTGAATGATTGATTGATATGTGGGGCTTAATGTCTCAAAAAAATCAGATAATTATTGAAACGAAATCACAAAAAGAACGACAGGACAAAGCGCTACTCACCAGCGGTTAATTGAGAATCGTGCTTTGTCTCGACATTCTTTTTTGTGGTGTCATTTCGCACTAAAAATAATCACTACGAACGGCGAAGCAGACTCGAATAATCTAGCTAACAGTTCAGTAACAATATTTAGTAATTTGATCCTAGTTGTCTGCCTACGAATTCCTACAACTTGTATATATGTAAACGCTTCTCAAAATAAATCAAATGTTATAAATTGCCCGTCCAAAATTCCTATATTTGCGCCAACGCAAGATGATTATGAGGGAGTTGGAAAAGTATGTTCTGAGGCCTTTGAAATATTCACGCCCCCGCAAAGTTTTTTTTTTCAGCTTGCCTGATTTCTTCAAGAAAACTGAAAGTAACTATTTACCTTGGAAAACAACGCCAGCGGACAAATACACAAGGTAGACAAGGTGGAGGCAACGCGACACAGCACAACACAACACGATCGTATCACTTCTGTCGTCATTCTCTGATGCTAAATATGCTTTCAAAGTCAGAATACCAACAGTCCAGAAAATGGCAGAAAAAAAAATTGATGCTGCTTATGGAACTCTACGTGAAAAACGTAAACTAACTTTCTACCTCTGCGCCATTCCTCTTTGCACTCTGGAATATATATATATTATATATATATAAAACCCCTATGTTTTCGTTTTTTTTATTTTCACAACTGCAGCAGAGTTGGACGTACACACAACAGCTCAAGCCGTCGTAACCTTCGCCATGCTTTGTTAATAAACTGAACATTCATTCATTCATTCACTGTTTATTTAGACAAACGCAATGATTGCCTAGGTTGAAGGGACTAAAGACAGATTACTTCTGCCTGACTAAGGTCCCTCCACCCATACATTTGCTCAGGTGAAGCGGATCAAATGATACAAATTTCGTTCTGCTTTTGAATGAGGGGACACAAAATTCAAATTCAACAAGTATAACAGATGTCGACACATACGTTTTAAAATAACACATTACAGTCATCACCCATTTGCAGTACCAATATAAAAATATATATATTAATGCAACAAGAAATTTCTGACAGAATTTTTAAGTGCCGTAGAGAAATACATTTGAAAAGAAATTGAGCAATTTTCATCTAATATGCAAAAGCACGAACGACACAAAAGAAATATTTATAATAAATAATACAATTAAGGGTCCTTACAAGAAAGGAAGTACATCTTTACTTTTTTCTTCACACCGTTTTTAGTGTTATGTTCTTTCAAAAGTTCACAGACACAGCTATTTTCGTGGAGTAGATAAGGTATATGATATGAAAAAGTTTGCTTACCGTATGTTGTTCTGAAAAAAGGCAATTGAAAACGATCAAAGCGTAGTTCATAGGGAGTATCGCTTGGGTAGCAATGCTCCATATAAGTGCCAACGGTGTTTCCTATTTCATTAATGACATATAAGCTGAGTTTAAGATTGTATAATTGGTAGACAGTAAGTATCTGAAGCTTGCCAAAAAACAGAGGGGTATGTTTTCTAGGTTGCAGATTTTCTATGTAGCGTACAGACCTTTTTTGTAAAACTAACAGCCTGTCAAGATTGGTTATTTCACATTTCACACTGTTCTCGGTGCGTTCTAAGGCCGCGTCAACCATAATATAAAATTACGTGATGATTACTAGTTACGCCATGTCAACTCTCAATTTTTATGGTTGTCTTCCAGCTAAAACACACACAAAAAAGCACCATTTTTATCGTTTGCACATTATTATTCTTTGTTGATTGTAGTTTTTCACCTTTAAATAAAGATCCCGTCAAGCATGCGAGTGACCTCTCGCAAGCACATCTCGCGTCGCTGCCAAGCACGAAAGCCTCAATGGTCTTTATTACACTTTTAGCGCGTTGGATCAGGGGAATTTTAGCACCTTGTGTTTTACGATGTAGGCGAAACAATGCCGTGAAATACTTGCTCGAAGAAGCTGCTTTTTCGATCGTTACAGAGGCAGCATTTTGAGGCATCACACAAAAAAAAAAGAGAAAAAAAGGATTTCCTATTTAAGAAGTATCCACAAGAAACGTGAGTCGTACTGGCTACTCTTCTTCGCTTAGGTAATCCATCTACAAAACCGGGTCAAGCATTGCGAGGAGAAATTTCTTTGATGAAGGTACGGGACGTCAACATTTTCAGCATCTTGTTTTTTTGTTTTCAACAAAATCTGAAACACGAATAGACAGACTAGACGAGTTACGCACAGTTTCCAGCGTTACCTGTCACGATGTTCTAGTGATTATGGTGCTTGACGAGCCGAATGCCACGGTATCAAATCCCAACCGTGGTGGCTGCATTTTGAGTGTAAGTTAAAATGTTAGATGCCCGTGCGCTTCGATTTAGGTTCACGTTAAGGAACAACACGTGGACGCAACATCCAGAATGGTCCTTCGTATGGTGTTTGCCTCGTATTGATATCGCAATTTTGGGACGTTTACCCCCCCCCCCCCCCCCCCCCCCGCAATATTGTTTATGAAAACAATGGGGTGAAAACATTTTTCATGGTGACCTAGAACGTCAACCTTTTCTGATTTGCTGTTTTTTTCTTCTAATAAATCTCGAATACGAACCACACAGTAGATCGACTACATGGGTCGCATGCATTTCGCAGCACTCGCTGATAACGCTCGGTCTGCAGCAGTCCGCCGGTAAAGTGTACCTACCGTGGGTGCCGCCGAGAAGGAAGTGTTGCCGAGTGGCAGCTACACCACGTATCGTAGAAGTCAGTCGGGTGCCACGCACGGGCGCGCACACTTGGCACTACGTCGCCGTCCGGGCCGAGAAAGTAAAGCAACAGGTCTCCTCCTCCTTTCGCGTCCAGCTGTTCAAGGAGCGGACGGCAGCGCGAAAAAAGGGGATTTTCGCGGGAGGAGAAAGGGAGCACTCTGCGGTCCCTCACTTAAGTGCGGCTGGCCGACAGTGCGGCGCTCGGCTGCGGAGCATCCTTTTTGCTCTCCGCGAGTGGGATGATCCCGCGAGCAGCGAGGAGAGGAAGCGGAGGGGCGGGCGCATGCGCCAGGACAGCGCGCCGACGACGAAGGCGCGCGCCTCGTGCACTTCGCCCCCGCAGGTGGCAATAGAGAGCTTTAGAATACCGCTTGCCAGCGCTGCGGGCGTTGCGGGCGTAGCGGGCGCCATATGAGCTTTAGAATAGCGTCTGCCCTGCTGCAAACCGCAACGCACGATCGCAGCGACACCGTAACCTCGAAACCAGCGCTTGCGGGCCACATGCAGGCCGCCATCGCCGCACGCAATTTCGGATTTTCTGCGTGCGGTTCGCGAACGCCGACTCGCGTTACGACGCATGCGCAGTAGCAGCGACCGCGCGCTATTCTAAAACCCCCTAATGATCGGCGCCCCGCTTGTGCCGTGCATAGTTGCTGCTGCGATCGTCGCGAAAACGCGCGCGATTTGATTAATGGACTTACGAAACTCGTGGCAGACGCTGTCCACGAGGTTAATGCGGGCCTGATGCGCTCGACGAATCGGCCAGCTTTATCCAGTTTTCTCGGGCGAGTCGCGGCAAAGGTTGCCGTTTTGCTATAATAGTAACCAAGGAAATCGGCGACATCCGACATTTCTGATTCTGGTGTCTGCTCTGTGTGTGACAATTCGTTCGAGGCTTTCGGGGTGCTCTTCCGTCACAAACGATAGTTGCAGTTAGCTTTTTCACTAATAGCTCAACTGCGGTGACTGATCAGCGTCAGCTTCGACCCGTAGCTTTAGATAGCCGTCGCAGGCGTGAGTGTTTTACTATACCACGACTTCGTTCTAAAGCAGAGACAGAGAGATACATATTTTAATGAAGAGCTGAAGATGTTTGCTTGGCTTTTCGCCTAGCATGCTACTCCAGGTGCTTATTTATTTATTTATTTATTTATTTATTATTTGTCGTATTAAGCATGTTCATGAACCTTGAATCCGGAATGAAGGGATGTCCGAACTTGGCGCGCTAAGACGACAGGCGGGTTTCTTTTGAAATGTCTTTGGCTTGATATACGACTTCGTATAGTTGCAAAAGGCATCTTCTCTTTGGTGTCCGTGTTTGGGTACCTTGTCTCTAACGCAGTACGTACCCAGCAACTAGATCAGCTCTCTCTCAACCACAAGGTGGCCGAGGTCCATGTTGCCTGCAGTGAGAAGGGCGTCTCATCGGCGTCTCATTGCATCCACCTACGAAACACGTTTCTCGAATCCTGACGCCAAGCCTCCTTCATAGATGACCCAGATACGATACACGAGAAGGACCTTCTTAAAAATGGCAACGCTAGCTGACATTTCGCGCAGACTCCCTTCTTCCCTCCCCTCCCACGCTCTAACTTGCTTAAATTAGCTTACCGGACTAGCCGGTTGTCCATACTGAAGATAAACAACGCGAAAGAAAGCACGGCTACGAAAGGCAAACACTCACGACACGCGCTGTTTTCCTAGCTGCGCTTTTTCGCGGAGTTTATCTTCACTAACCTTCTTCACTGTCCAAGTTTCGCGAGACTAAGCTTCGCGATTGCGTCCCGCTGGGTGAGGTGAGTGTGCCACTTCTGCTCCATAGGCTGGTGTGAGTTACTTGAGTACGTAGTGCGATGACGTTGCACCCCTTCGCTTCGCTTGCATTGGTCGTCGTCTTTTTTCTGCGTCATCTCGAGCGAGTCACACCGGATGTGGCGTTGCGAGGAATTCTCGGCGTTTCAGGCGCGAAAAGAGCCACCTCGCTTTCGGATCCCGCGTTGATGGCGGTCTCCGCAGACGTCCTAATTGCGGGAGCAGTTAGGGAGACAGAAAGCGACACTGCTTGTGACCGAGAGCATCGTTTACACGCAGAACAGTCAAGTCGAAGCAGTGGGTCTGCGTGGCAAATGTTCTAAGGTTCTCTGACCTCGAGTGACTAATGCCATAAAATGGAGAAGCGAGTTACGTTTTCAGGCTTGCAAATTCGCTCTTGCGTGGCTTATACTGCATGCTGGAGCCGAATTAGGAAAACTTCTCTTTCGTGAGTGCGTTTCCCCATTGCTCGACGGGTTTCTTTAATGATATGTTCCTCATTGGGGTTGACTGATATACTGTCTTGCGAAAAATGTTAGACTGTTTGTGAATAGAGTCTCTGCTCTGTATAGCTATTGCAGGTTAAACGCAGTAGAAAATGTTACATGCTGTCTGCATTTTATACCCGTTATTTTAAGGTCATGTCTATTTCAAGTGCTACAAAATCTAAGCCAGAAAACTTGCCGCTGACTCATATGGGTGCATCTGCGCACTTACTGCTCCACTTGAAAGAAGAAAAAATACAAAATAATGCCCAAACAAGCAGCGAAACTGCAACGCTAACTATTCCGACTCAGTGGATCATGGCTAGGGTGCTCGGCTGCTCACCCCAAGGTCGTGGGTTCGATACCGGCTGTGGCAGGCGCATTTCGATGGAGGTGGAATAGTAGAGGCTCGTGTACTGTGCGTTGTCAAAGCACGTTAAAGAACACGAGATGGTCGGCATTTCCGGAGCCCTCCACTGTGGCGTCTCTCATAACCATATCGTGAGTCCGGGACGTTAAAACCCACGTATTAATATCCAATGGTAACTATAGTAGTAAAACGAATGCATGTAGTAAAAAAGTAATGTAAAACCTTGGCATAAAAGTAATTACAAATGCACATATTTAACATTAGCATAAATGTCATTATTGCGGTATTCATTTGTACAGTGCAGAAATTAATATGACTTCTATACTGAAAGAATCGCGGTACTCTTCTTGAACGGGCTGGTTCAAGCATCATGTACACTTTTCGGTTGTGTACGTGACAATGAACTACTGCATAAAAATATAAACTTTAGCAGACCGTAAAAGTCACAGGAACGCTCGCATCATGCGTGATTGATTACACAGCAACTACACTTTCGAGAACGAATAAAAAAAAACCGGTTTATTTTTGCCAATTCGCAAGGGTATACGGACATTATAGCTCCCTATACTTGGAGACCACTTCCTACCACTAAACAACCCAAGGAATGTTACTAGCAAAGACGACCCGAGTGACAAGGTCTTCGTAAAATCGCTTTCCATGACCATTCCACGCCTCCAAACTGAGCCTATTTTTGTCTGTATACTATTTTTGCGTCATCAGCACAAAGTGTGTTGCGAGGTAATTTTTTGCAGCACAATGGCATACCTCCCATTGAGTTTTTGCCCGATTATTTTCAACGTGGCGCCACCAATGGTCTAACAGGCCTCAGCGAGTATTCTTCGTCGCGCTTCCACAATAATTCTCTGCGTGAATCAACCTGTAGTGTAAATAAAAATTGGCAGCATATCCACGGAACGAATGATAAAAAGTGGGGCGAAGCATTCGTCCGTCCATTCGTTCTTGCTTCCGTCCGTCCATGCGTCCACCTGTGTGGCCGTCCATGCGTCTATCCAACCGTCCGTGCGTGCGTCTGTTCATGCGTCCGTCCCTGCGTGCGTCTGTTCATGCGTCCGTCCCTGCGTTCGTCCATGCATCCACCCCTGCGTCCGTTCATGCGCCCATCCATGCATGTCTGTGTGTCCGTTCATCCATCTATTCAACACTCCAAATACCACCATCTCACATTTTTTCATCATATATTCCCCATAAAGAAGCACCGCCATCCAGCGGACATTCCAAGGACTAAACGAGAGGTGGCACACGCACACTTTCTTACGGCTTGCGCTTCGAGTCTACTTCCCACCTTTAACCACCTCGAGTTCATGGTATATACTAGTTCACTGTATTCATAGCACTGCGGCCCAACGCTCGATAAATCTTTCTAAAACCAAGGAGGTTACGCCCAGAGAGTATAACGTAGCAAACCTTTTCTGTCAGATAGTGCTCAATGTACATGCCAATGGCTGCTAATGGGAAATGAGGGACAGGAGAATTCGGCTTTTACTTTTTACGGCTTGCGCTTCGAGTCTACTTCCCACCTTTAACCACCTCGAGTTCATGGTATATACTAGTTCACTGTATTCATGGCACTGCGGCCCAACGCTCGCCAAACCTTTCTAAAAACTAAGGAGGTTACACCCAGCGAGTATAACGTAGCAACCCTTTCTTGTCAGATAGTGCTCAATGTACATGCCAATGGCTGCTCATGGGGATCGCAGCGTGCGCATTACCCAAAAGCCGAATGCTCCTGTCTCTCATTCCCCATTAGCAGCCATTGGCATGTACATTGAGCACTATTTTTCATTGTTCAACAACGCACAGAAGAAATCTCTCGCCGGCACCACCTTGGAGGTCAAAATGTTTTATTTGTTACATACTACAACGGCTACGAGGGAAGAACAGCTGCCGCTATAAAGAGCTTCGCCCCTAAAAAAAGAAAAAATACGGCCAATGCAATTTCATGGACGTCATGGTAGCCTTGATACACCCTCTCTTGGACATTGCGTCGGCACACGGAAGGGCATCGCCGCAGCAGTTCTTCCCTTTACAAAGAGTTCTCAATTTGCTTTCAGCGACAAGGTTGAAAGCCGCACTGACAACAACCTCGAACGGGCTTGCTACGAGGTAACGTCCATCCGGAACTCACTCGAACAAAGACAATCCGATACACGGACGACCTTAAGTCACTTCGTTTTCAATCCGTGCACTCTTAAGAGAAGGGCGAGACCTCAACCAGTCGAGTACATCGTATACAGTCACTTCCGCCATTTCAAGAGGGCATGCCTCCCTCAAGCTGTCATTTCAAAGGCTTCTCACAATTCACACAGCCCATGTTTTTACACGGGGACAGGTTTTGAGACGCTGCCGACATGTGTGTACACAGGGAAAGGGAGTGGCGCGCGCGTCAGCCCCGTGTCTGTATAGCAGGACGCGTGCCAGCCTTAACGAAATGATGGAAGCAAGGAGCCGAGGATGACGTCTGCATCGGAGCGCCGAAATCAGTCTGCCGAAAAGCCGGACGACGCCTTGAAACGCTCGTA